GCCCTGAAGCTGAAAGGCTCGCTCACCCTCCTCCCCCGCAGCTGTGGGGATCCCGCCAGCTCCTTGGGGCCTCTGCCCTGGGCTGGCTGGCGCCTGCTCCCCTTGTAGCTTTTGTTTTTTTTTTTATTTATTTATTTTTATTTATTACATTTATTTATTGTGTGTGTGTGTGGCCAGCTCAGCCCACCAGGGGGCGGGTCTGGCTGGCATGTGGTGCTGGGGATCGAACCGTGGTGCCTGTGCTTTGCCAAGCTCGTTTCAAGTAGGTGCTTTAGACCACTGAGCCATCTCACCAGCCCCCCCCTTGTAGCTTTTGTGAGGGTCCTGTACAGAGGCAGCCCCCAGCAAACCTCGGGCCCCACTCGTAGGGCTGGGGCATTGCCAGGACTGTGGAAGTCCAAGCCTTGACATCAGGATGGGGAACAGATGACATGGGGGGGCGGTCTCAGCTCAGTGCGGGCTTTGGAGAACTAGAGGCTGCACCCTGCTGCCCAGGGCACCACGTGGGGCCCCTGCGGGTGGGCAGAGGGCCAGCAGAGCTTCCACCGGCGCAGGTCAGGCCCGATGGTGGCTGGGCAGCCGCTGTCCCTCTGCTTCTCTACAGGCCTTTCCCATTGGGCTGCTGGCTCCCCCAGAGACAGCAGCCAGGGCGTGTGTGCTGTTGGGGTGGGGCTGAACAAAAGCATGGGCTTGGGGTGTGGCTGGTGTGTGTGCACAGCCAGACAGGGCACTAGGGTTCTGAGAGCTCAGGGAAGCCACCAGCGCCTCCAGTGCCGGGACCCTCTTCCCCCTGGATGGCTACCTGGAGCCGAAGGCAGAGTACGTGCAGAAGCCGGGGGGGGAGGTAGTTGCACCTTTGTCAGGGGAGTCAGTAGCTGTCAGCCGCTGGAGCTGGGGGTGGGGCTCTCGGGGAGGCAGGGATCAGATGGGTCCATGGGACCTGTGAGTTCACTGGAGACACGCCCAGAGCGGAGCCCCTTGGGGTACCCGAGAAGATTGCTGACCGTGGATGTCTGGGGCTGGCTTGCAGCAAGGTCTAGGAGGGAGCAGACACCTGAAGCGGGACTGGAGGCTCCATCGAGTCAGTGGACACAGGGCAGGTGCCCACCAGGAGGCTGCAAAGGGATGCCAGGAGAGGTGGGAGGAGACGCAGAAGTCAGCAGTGGATGCACTGATCCTAAGGTGTGCGCCAGTTGGGGGCATTAGGCCATAAGGGGGCTGCACAGTGTGCGGCACAAGCCAAGGGTGGGGCTCGGCGCAGCCAGCTGGCTCAGTGCTGCAGCGCTGTGTGTGCTCCAGTGCGTGCGATGGGGTGGCCACTTACTGCCTTGGCACCCTCCTCTCAAGGCCCTCCCATGGAACCCTGAGATGTTCCTTCAGTCCCCTGAGCCCAGCTCTAAGGTCATAGAGACCTATAGTTAAATCCTGCCTCTTCCATTTATAGGCTAGGGGAAAGTCATGTATGCCCAAGCCTCAGTTTGCTCATCTGTAAAATAGGAGAATGGACAGTCCCTTTCTTCAAGGGTTCTTGAAAGATTAAAGGAGGTGTCAAGATAGAGACGCTCTTCTGTGGCTCCTGCTGAGGCCGGGGTGCTCCTCAACACAGGAGTGGCCCTACCACAGAGACTCAGAGCAGACTGTAGGGGAGGGTGCCCAGTGTTTCTTCATACAGCATAACTTCAGTAATGGACATAGTGAAGTTATGCCGACTGCTGGGCAGTTCCTGTGCTTCCAAAGATTCATGCCGGCCAGAGCAGTGGCTTCTGAGTCTTCTCTCCCTGCTGTGGTGTGAGTGATGAGGGCCCCTTGAGAACAGTGCTGAGTCTGAATCCTGTGATGACTTTCTGAGCTGTGGCTGCAGGGGCAGACGTGTCTCAGGGCTCTGGCCTGTGCATGGGATCAGCGCTCTTGTGAAAGGCTCCAGGTTGAAGCAGGTTCTCCTTCTGCCTTCCTCTATGTGAGGACTCAACAACGGGGCGCCATCATAGAAGTAGAAGGCAGCAGCCCTCGGATCTGCTGGTGTCCCAATCACGAACTCCCCAGCCTCCAGAACTGTAAGAGACAGACTTCTGCTCTTTATAAATCACCCAAGCTCATTGTGTTATAGCGGCAGAAATGGGCTGAGATTCTCCCAAACACGACCTTCCTGTGACACCGGGGAATCATCATGTTGGGGCCTCCATCAGTCAAGACATGGATGGAGGCCCAGAAGAGGGAGGAATATGCAGAGGAGGAGGGAGAGCTGGCCACCAGCCCCCACAGAGGACAGACATAAACAGGCCTGCAGCCTAGCTTCTCATCGCTTTCATTTTTTCCCAGTTTGTTTAATGAACCAAATGCTTAAGAAAGAAACCCCAGTTTTGCCACCCCTGCCTTTCCTCTTTGATCCCTGAGTTGCTGAGATTAAAGAAGTCCCAAAAGAGAGCTCTGAAACATCCTGGACCACTTCTGGGCCCCAGTGCCCGGGAGAAGCTCTGGGAGCTCTGGTGACCTCCTGGAGGGTGTGTGGAGCCGGGCCCTGCCACGAGGCCTCAGGGTACTGAGGCCTTCTGCTGCTGCAGGCTTCCTGCAGACTTCTGGGTCTTGGCTTTCGGCCTCATGCGTGGCCAGCAGGTCCTGCCATTACGTGTCCTCACAAGGACTGGAAGTACCCATCATTGCCCGTGTTTGCACTGCCCTTGTCTAGTGTCTGTTTTTATTTTCAACATTGGCCCGTGTCAGGTGGCTTGGGCTGTGCTCTGCATATTGTCCCAGTGGCCTGTGGACTGCATGCTTGTGTGGGAAGGGCCCATGCCTCTACTGAACCCTGGGGAGCCCCACACCTGCAACTCAGTACTGCAGTTGGTGAAATTCTGCGGACAGTGACTGTCTGCTTCAAGACACACCCTGTTTTGGCCCTTATTATACTTGCTGCCTCTTCCTCCTCCTCTTCCTCCTGTTCCTCCTCTTCCTCTTAGTGGTGTGATCTCCCTAACACTGAGGCTGAGCTCCCCTGCCTCGGGCTGAGTGGACAAGTGGACCACGAGTGCTGGTCCTTGCTCCCAGCCCGTGTGATCTCAGCATCATTAACCCTCATTCACCCTTACATCCTCACTGCTGCCTGCTACGAGGCAGTGGGGCTGCCCGGCCAGGGAGCAAAAGGAGACCGGAGGTGGTGGGCCGCTGCCAGGGGCCTCAGGCCAGGCCTCTGCTGGACAGGGCTGGCCTGTGGCATCCTGCTGTGAGGTAGCCGGGGATACTGAACAGGCCCTGCTCCCTAGGCTTCAGTCAGCTCGCTCCTCATACCCAGATGATCTGAGCTCCATCCCCCAGACACCTATGCCAGACATCTGCTTTGGTGCTGAGAGGCCAGATTCCACAGGTGAACTAAATGGCCCAAAGAGGAGGTCCTGGCCATCCTTGACCCTGGTGTGTAGCCCAAGAGGAGCGCTTTCTGTTCTCCATGTGTGCCTGCTCTCTGTGTGCCAGTGGGTGAGGCGGGGTAGTGGTGGAGGGGTGGTGCTTCAAGAGGCCTCACCAGGACCCATGGAATTGCAAAGCAGCAGTGTCCAAAGCTGTCAGCCATCTGTCAAGAGAACCAGCAAGGACACGAGCCCTGGCCAGAGGCAAGGAGGATGCCGCCCTGGGCTGCAGAATTCTTAGATGGGACCACACCGCACTCCACCACAGTGAGCCCCAGCACTCAGATACGAGCTTGGCCACCGTGACAGCTGGAGGCAGAGAGGCAGGGCTATGCGGCTATGCACTTTTATCTGCGGCTGTGCAAGGAGGGCCATGCCCTCTGCATGGGCACTGGGGGTCCATCCATGCATGAGAACACAGCGCAGTCCCTGAGCTGTCAGCTCTGGCAGATGTGACTGGCTCTCGCATCAGACACATGCACAGGGGCAAACAGATCACCTGAGTAGCTCACCCTAGCTTTGTACCGCCACTGAAGGTAACTGTAAAGCTCCTTTATCTGCAGTATTTGTATGTTTGGTTTTTTATGTTTTAGGATATATATTTGTGTACATAAGACTCACTGTCAGATTTACAAATGAATCTGATGTTTTGTCATTCTCCTACAAGGGAACTTGTTCATAAATCAGGGACTTCTCCTCCTTTTGATGCACTGAGCCTGCCTTGTACAACAGTGAGGGGCATCCCAGGGGACATCTGTTCATGTCAGGGGACATCTGCTGCTGTGGGCAAGAGCCACTGGCATCTTGGCGGAGACCAGAGACGCTCCACCATCATGTGCCCAGCATGGGCTGTGTCCATGGTGTGGCTGCTGAGACACACTTGCATGCAGTATTTGCCACCTGCTTCTTTGGCTGAAGAACTTTCCAGAACTTCTTCCCAGGGCCTGCCCTAAAGGCCAGGGCTCGGATTGCACCACGTGTGGCCCTGTCTGAGCCCCAAATCTGACTGACTCCATTCAAGGGACATAGGCTGAGCCACCCGAACAGAAACGGGGGCTTCTGAGGGCTTCCGGGGCCCTCTCCCCTTCTGATCCCATCTTTACCCCGGCTGGCTCTCTGTGGCCTGGTGGGGAGCCACCAAATCAAATAGGGGTGCTCTTGGAGATTCATGAAATGGCATGGGTGGATCGGGAGTCAGCTACCGCAGGAAACCACCCGGGCACTCCTCTGAAGGGGCCATGATGGGGCGGGTGTGGGGATGGGGATGGGGCGGGGCACGAGCCGTCTTCCGGGAGGGGCCTGGGCACTCTCTGGCACTGGGCCAAAGAACTTGCTGTAGATCGCAGATCCTGTCTGTCCGCGAGCCAGTGAGCAACACCCCCTCCACGCAGCCTGCGAGCCGCTCTATCGCCGCTTTAAGGAGCGTTTAGAACCCCTTCCCTGTGCCGAAGCCCCAGGGCTTGCAGGGTGGGAGGGGTGAGAGGCGAGGCGCAGCTGTCACCCAGAGGGGGTGGTGGACAAGGTGGGGCGGGGCCGGGGGCGGGGTCTGCGGGGCGGGGGCGCCCGAGGGGCTCTGGCCCACACTGGCGGCGGCGGCCGCGGGTGGAGGACGCCATGGGCTCCTGTTCCGGCCGCTGCACGCTCCTGGCGCTCTGCGCTCTGCAGCTGGTGAGTGCCAGGTTCCACGCCAGGTCGGGGAGCTCCGGGGTCGATGGTTCGGACCCCAGCGCAGGCAGCGGGCGCGGGCACCGCCAGTGAGGAGCGAGGCTGCGTCTTGAGCCTCGGGGACAGGTGCCAGGGGGTGGCTGGAAGGCCCTGCCCGAAACAAAAGCCGTTCAGCAGGGGCGACCCTCGCGGGCCTCGTCAAAGTCCCGCGGGCACGCGTCGTGCGGGTGGGACTCTGTTGTGCGCTGTGCCCACAGGTATCCAAAGGCGCGTGTGGCCCAGTGTGCGCCAGGCGCAGAGTGGTTGCAGCGTCGTGTGCTGTGGCCGCCCTGAGGCTGGGTGTACAAGGGAGTGGGAGTGCTTTGCCGGTGCGCGTCTGCCGGCCCTGCAGTCCTGTTCACTTGGCCTGGAGAGAGAGCAGGAGTGGGGGCCCCAGTGCCCAGGGCTGGGCCCACACTTTTTTTTTTTTTTTTTTTTTTTTTTTT